CCCCAACATGCTCTGCATGCGACGCGAGGCACCTACGGAGACGTTGGTCCCACGGCTCACGACAGGGTTTGGGCTCGTCGGTTTGGATGCCTTCTGGCGCCTCTGCTGGTTTTTGTCTCACCTCTTCCACGTCGGCAACATGTTTCCCTTTAAGGACCCTTTTCATCCTGGGAAACAAAAAGAATGTCGCTCAGGGTGAGATCGGGTAAATAGAGGAGGGGGCACGGGGGTCATGGTGTTTTCGGTCAAAACTGCTGAGCACTCAGCGCGGTGCGGGCAGGTGCGCTCGTGAATCACCCGTCAGGAAATGGGCAAAGGCACTGAAAGGGTCTTCAAAAACATTCACTGAAGCCGAATGCAGCCTCTCACAACAACGCCAGCTGGTACACTGATACAGATAGGTCCCTGGAACACTCACCCAGTGGGGAAGCCTGTACTACAAGGGTCCTGCCCTCCAGAAGATAATTCCACTTTTTGGGGGGGAAGGGTCCCCCCTTGTATTTGCTATTTCACCCTTTACAGGAAAAAAATGTGCCCATCTTTGATTTAGAAAATAGTTTGATGTCTGGATTTTGTTCTATTTCCCCAAGATTAACATACTCAAGTTCCTGTTCCTATTCAAACTATTTCACTTAACAGGAAGGTCTTTATTTTTTAAAAATTGACAATCGTTGATTCAAATTTATAGGTGACGAAAAGTTCAGTGGTTTGGTTCTAGGCTCAAATTGATATGGTTTCTCTGCTTTGGGGTCACCTGGCTCAGCCAGGACCCTTGAGCAGAACACCTTTACAAACCTGGGACAAAGTGGGGGGCTGACATGGGCCTCCGTTTGCTCTGCAGGAGGTCTCCCATTAAAGCGCCAGCAGACACAGCTCCTTCCAGCATTAAGACTCAAAGAGTCTGTCTGCAGTCCTCCGACTTGGCCAATCCTGTCCCCCACGAAGGTCCAGAGACCACCTGTTCGCACCTACTTCCCACTTCTTTCACGGTAACTCTTAAAATACGAAACATTTGAAAAGAAGCACAGTGGTCCCCCAGTACTAACAAGACCTTCTGAGCCTGTCTTCCGGAAGTGGAAGGCTTCCGACAGTAGCTCTGCAGCCAACTCCAGAACTTTGTGCGGGTGTTTAACCCTACACGAGACTTTCACACCACGTGTTAACACTTTGTATTGCGGAACTGTTCCAATGTATGCAAGACCAGAACAGTGCAATAAACCCCGGAGGCTCAGCAACCAGCCGCAAACGTCAGTATTTGGCCATTTCTCCCCATTTCTCCCTCCGACTTTTTGTTTAGTGTTTGTTGCCGTATTTCAAGGCAGACCTCACACACCGAATCGCTTCACCCACACACGCTTGCTTGTTTCTGTTAGATAAGCCCTCTCTCCTTCCAACAAAACTGCACAATCACACTCAACGCGGTCTCCCAACGCACTCGAACCGCCAGTCCGGGACGCTCGGTTCCCCGCACGGGCCTGCTCCCCTGGGGATCCAAGTTTGGCCACACGCTGCATTCTGTCGCCAGGTCTCTTGGTCTCTTTACGTCTGCAGCACGAGGTTCCCCTCGTGTCCGGTCCCCCACCACTGACACACACTTAATGGTAACTGGCCAAGCAAACCTCACCAAGAGCAACACCTCCTCAGCCTCCGCGTGCCACGAGCACCCGGACATCCACAGGCCCTTAAACCCCTTGGGCGAAGGGGCCCACAGCTGACCGTGCACGTGCAGTCCGCCAGCAGGACCGACGCGCCAGGCCACCCGCACGCTGTCTGCTCTCAAGGGGAGGAAGTTAGATGGCTGGGCAAGCTAATTCTCTCAAATTAAATCTTTTCTGTGTTGCGATGGCCCGAAGACTTGGAATGATTTAAAGAAACACGGCATCCATTCATTAAGGCTTCTGTTTGAAGTTACCCAAATTTAATCAAGAATCACAAAGTAAATCAGATAAGCTTTCTCATCGGTTATTGTCACCAATAAAAACATTAACTGAACACCGAGATGATGTCAGCCACTGGGTTAGAAAAAGGATGACCTGGGTCCTGGCCCAAAGCCGCTTGTCGCCTAGATGGAGCACCTAGCACATTGTTTAGACCAAAAACACACACACACACCCAAGGATGACGACAGCCTCACCACAACCCGAAGCAGCAACACCCAGGCCCCTGCCGCGGGGTCTGTGGGGCGGATTAAAGCAAACGAGAGTCAGAGCAGCGGAGTCCGCTGGCCAGTTCTGCCATTTATGAACGCGCCCCACGGGACCACTGACTCAAGCCCCGTCCCTCAGGCGCACCGCTTGTGACGCGGGAGTAACCCCACCCACCTCACTGTCGCAGAGTCAGAAAATCTTGGGTGGAAGCCCGGCACTAACGATGATGATTAAAGTAAGAACAACAAAGTCACTGAGTGCAATACTCATTATGCCAGCCGGTCCCTGGGCTAAAACGTTTATGTGCATTCTCTTGTCCACTCCTCCCGTCGGCCTACGTGTGAGTCACCTCCTGTCCTCGTGCCACCGTCCAGAGGGAGAAACTGAACAGGGTGAGTGAGCGAGCTCCCCGAGCTCACACGGCTACAGGCGGGAAGGCAGTCTCAGGACCTCGGGCTCCTGCTGGCGATCATGGCAGGACGATGCCTCCCAACACCCCCACGGCAGGGTGTAAAGACAGGCCCAGGGCAGCATGAATTACTGACGGCTGCAGAGCAGTTGTGCTGTGCAAGGCCGTGAGGTCCAGCATCCCGCAGCCCCCTCTCCGGGGGCCCCAGAGCTGCCCCACCTGAGGCGCGGGTACGCTCGGGGCCACAGTGCAGGTTCCTTCCCTGCTGGGGTGCGTCTTCAGCTGCCCGCTGGAGAGCATTTGAGGCCCTCTTTAAACACTCTTGAAAGAATTACAAGCCTCAAAACCCCAGTATTTGCTGAAATAGGGCCAAAGTAAAACCATTGTAATTTTCCCTATGAAATCTCTTACTTCCTCTTTGTATACACACTGTGGACAGAGAAGACTGGGGGAAGTCCGCTACAGGCAAGAGGTCCGATTGCCGGCAGCCGCCCCGCCCTGAGAAGCACCCCCTCCCCACCCGCCACCCCAGCTCAGTGAAAGAGGTGCCCGGAGGACCCAGGGGCGACGCCCGGCAGGTGTCCTGGCCACGCCAGGGGCCCCGCGCAGAGCTTCTCGCCTCCCCGGAATTTAACCGGGGCACGTGACGCTTCGGTATCACCAGTTGGTCGACCCCGCATGTTAGAATAATAAAATGCTTTTGCTTAAGACGCTACGTTTAGGGGTAGCTTGGTAGGTAACGAAACAGCCAGAAAGTGGCTTTTCCAGCCGTAGATCTGACATTTATCAGATCCACGAGTGAGAGGGGCCTTAACAGCAGCTATCGGCTGAAACACTCAGCTCGGTGAACCTGGGGCCTACACTGTGCCTGGCTCACCAGTGTTAAGTAAATATGGATAACAATCACATTAATAACAGTAATAATGGCAGCTAATATTTACCAAGTATTTCTTCGGTGTAAGGCATCGCACTAAGCCTGTTATTAATTTAACCTTCACGGTAGTCTTTCCGGACCAGTATTACGCCCCTTTTACAGATGAGGCTAGTGAGGCTCAGAGGGGAACAGGACTTCACCCTCTGATTCCGGGACCCACGCTCCTGGCCATCGTCCTTAGCGCCCCTTTGGGGACCATTCTATTTGCAAAAAGTTGCCTCCCCTAAAAGCGATCAACATCCATACACGGTCTAAAACTATGCCTGGCCTGTGATGAGTTTTCAATAAACACCAACTCTGATGATCAGGAAACTTGTAGGTGGGGAAGGGAAGCACACAGGGAGACCTCCACGCGTGTGAGTTGGTTTGGTATTTCACACAGGCGCCCTGCACCAGACAGCATCCGGAATTAGGTAATTTTCTGCCTACCAGGCGGCTCTCCGCCAGAAACTGAGCTCCCCGAGGGCTCGCCCCGACTCCGGTCCATCTCGGTGGGTCCAGAACAAGTAAGTGCTCAAGAAACGTCCGTGGGATGGAAAGGAAAGCCTCATTCGCCACAAACGCGAATTTGGGCTCCCAGGATGACATCTCCCCAGGCCATCCGCCCTGAAAGGGATTCCAAGTGCCAGGAAAGGGGAGAGAACAGGTAAGGGCTTGTGGGGGAGACCCACTGAGAAACGTGGGCGCCGGTGAGCAGCCTGGGGGACAAGAGGAGGCGCTGGGCTTGTGCCAGGGCCCTGGGGAAGTCTGTGCTACTCTGCGGCCAGCCACACGGAGGGCGGGACCTCCCCAGCTCCCCAGCACGCGGAAAAGTGCCGACCCTGGGGGTCCCGACCCCGCCCCTCCCGGGCCGCCGCCGCCGCAGGAGGAGGAGGAGGAGGATGAAAAAGAGAGTGAGAGCAGGTCATAAGTTTCACAATCAAACTCCTAGCCCCGAAAGGGGAGGGCTCCCCATCCTCCGCCGCCCCGCCCAGCGAGGAGGGACCGCCACCGCTGCCTCTCTAGACAGTTGGGGACCCCGTTCTTCTAGTTTTTAGATGGTTTTCATCCTTCCCGAAAAGTAGGAGACTGGGTCCCAAACCCTTCTCACACCTGTAGCACCCCACCCCGCGTTCCGTGCACCCCGGGTTCTGAGAGCCGCTCCCAGAGAGGGGCGGGGACGCCCCAACTGTTACTCACAGTCTTCTAAGTCCTCCTGCAAGTCCACCAAGTACAAGGGGATCTCTGAAAACCAAGAGGCACGGGAGTTACGAGGGGGCTGCCGCGGGTGGGCGCCGCGGCGGGCGGGGGTCCCCGGGCCTCGCTGGGTGCTCGCCGCCGAGGACGAGGGGGTCGCAACCGCGCCCCCAGAGCGCCGCCCCACTTACCCGCCATCTTAGGATGGGCTTGGAGGCGTGGTCTGCGGCTGGGGGGCGTGGCCTCGGGCTCCTTGCCCCGCCCGCGGGCTCGCGCCTCCCTCGGAGCCTCGGCGCCGGCCGGCCCCGCCCTCGCCGCGAAGGTGGCTGCCGAGGTGGGCGGGGAGGTCAGGTGACCCGGCCGGCGTCCCAAGATGGCGGCGGCGGAGGCGCTCGGGAGGCCTCGGAGCCGTCCCGGCTGCTGAGACGGTCCCCGCGCGGCTGGCGGCGGACGGGCCGGGGCCGAGGGCCGGCGAGCAGGCGGTCGTCGCCTCTACGCGCCCCGCGGCCGGGGCTGGGCCGGGCGGCGGCGCCGGGGAATGCCCGTACTGGGCCCGGCCTGTCCCTCCTCAACTTAGGGCGGCGGCGGGCGCGGCGGGCCCGCGCCCAGGCTCCCGGGCCATGGCGCTAAGGGAGCTCAAAGTGTGTCTGCTGGGGGTGAGTGGCGGCGGGCCGGCCGGGAGGGCCGCGGGAGGCCGGGTGGGCCGGGATCCGGGCGCGCCCACGTCCCGTCCGCCCCTGCCCCCGGGCGCTCGCGGGACGCCGCTTACCTGCCCGGACCCGCCCTGCTGCCCTGGTGCTCAGGGTCCTGCGGGCGAGGGGGGACCCTCTCCCTGTGTCTCCCGGAACTGGAGGTCTCTCCGGCCCCGAAGGGTAGCGAGCCCGTCCTGCCTCTGCCTTCCATCTGGGCTCTGAACAGCTGGGAAGTTTCCTACCGGGGCACTAGGCAGAGTTGGCCAAGTACTCCCAGAGGGGGACCCATAGCAGGTCCTTCGCTTCTTCAAGCAGCATGCATCTCCTTCCCCGTCTGTTGGGTGTTTTTGAACTTGTAGGTCTACCCTGACACTTCTGGCAGTTACTTTTCTTCGGGGGGCGGGGCGGTTAAGTGAGGAAACGCCAAGACTGTGAAGCTGCAGCTTCCTGTCTGGTCCGGGCAGCGATGCCAGTGCGCAGCCTGCGTCTTGGGTTGCCCGCCTGCCCGCGAGGCTGCTCAGGGACCCAAGGGATCCCTGTATCTAGTCTGCCCCCTTCCCAAGCAGGGTGGGGCTGGAATCTGCCCTGGACTCCCCAGAGGGAGATCACGGGTCCATAGTTTACTTTATACGGTTAGGAAGCAAGTGAGTTTGTCGCTGTTAACGCGAAGCAGAGACTTGGAGTCTTTCGAAAGGTCCTAACGTTTCTTAAAAACTGCGAAACCCTTCTCCTACAATACATTCGAAATCTCATGACTCCCACTGACTCTTTATGGAAACCTCCTTTGCATCCCTTAACTTCTACAACGTATCGGACATGAGTTTTCGAAAGTCCTGAACTGACGAGGTAGTTTTCAGGGCTGCAGGCAGATGAACCTGACCACCTCCTTCTCTTTCAGGATACGGGCGTGGGCAAATCAAGCATTGTGTGGCGGTTCGTGGAGGACAGCTTTGACCCCAACATCAACCCGACTATAGGGTAAGAGATTGCTTGTTGCATGTGCGTCTCCCGGCGTGTGGAAAGGCCTTCCAAATGAAGAGCGTGTCACAGGGGTGCCCGTTAGCGGACTCAGAGACGCCGGTTCCCACCATTTCCGGAAGGACTTCGAAGGGCGCAGTGAGGGTTGCTCTGCTCAAAGAAAATGATCTTTTGATTTGTGAGGACTGACAACGTTAAAAGGAAAATATGAATTAAAATCCAAAATATACGAAGAACCTTCCATCTATATATCAGTAGTAGTTGCACGTAAAACAAGGCAAGTGAGAACAGGTCTGTGTTTTCAGGCATGTCGGCCAAAAGATGTGCAGATGGTTTTCATCCTTCCTGAAAAGTAGGGGAATGGGTCCCAAGCCCTTCTCACACTTTCCTGCTCCGGTAGTAATGATGAATTAATAAGTGAATGCTGACATGTAAGATTTTTAGGGTGTCTGGTTCTTTGGATAAGTGACATTGACTGGTAGTAGGTTTTTGACATGCAAAAAGGAAACTTCTCAGGGTATCTGAATATCATAACATTAATACTTACTCTGTGAGTCATGTTTTATAGGTTTTAATACTATGTTAGGCTTATACAACCAAAGAGCTGTTATGTGATTTCTGTTGCAAACCCCCAATCGAGTGGTTTCTTCCATGTAAAGAGAAAGTCTGTTCCGCCTTATAGAAAAGTGTCTCCCTGCGTACGCACACACACAGGGAGGCCTGGGGATGACGCCACCAGTCACTTCCCAAAACGCAAGTGCCTTGCACGGTCCTCCAAAAGAGAACCGGGCATGTCCCCGTGTTTCAAGGGTGATCTCATCCTCCTCGGGGCCGGCCTGTTGCTGCCTGCTCGGGAAAGTGAAGTGACAGGAAGTGAGAGCAGGTCGTGCCTGTGACTCAGTGAGTGACACACCGGACACCTGGGCAGAGCTGCAGACACAGCTCTGAAGCGTCCAAGGGCTCCCTCAGAGAAGGGGGGAGACATCGGTGTGTTTCCCCGCACCTGTGCGCCGGAGCCCTGCCCCGGCGTCCACCCCCTCCCACTCACCTGCCCTCCCAGCCTGCGGCACGCTGGGTTCCTGACCGCAGTCTCGTCTCCTCGCCAGACGGTCTTGGCTCCCACTTCCTAGGAAAGAGGAATTCAGGGCTCGCGCCTCATTTCCTTCCACCTTCCCTGATTCCCTCGGCCTCAGCCGGTGTCTTCCGCCTTCACGGCCGACCCCCGATGCCTGAGCCCTGCGGCTCCCCTCGCGGCAGCTGTCCGCTGCGAGCCCGGCCCTGCCTCCCTCGCGCAGCGTGCACACGTGCTCCTGGGGAGACAGCACTGCTCCCCAAACCTGCGCCCACATTGCGCGGAGCCCTTGAAAGAGAAGTGACTACTTCCTCAACTGCTGCTCAGTCCTCAGACCGCCGTTGTCTCAGTTCTCCACCCTGCCCCACTGCAGCAGCTGCCCTGAGCGCTGCTTTCCCTCTGGCTGCCAAGCCCAGCGGCTCTTCTCTTCCTTCTTTCACTGCGCGCCTGCCCCATGTGCCAGATGCGACACTGCCTGCTCGTGGTTTAGACCCAGGGTTAACACACCATGGCCCGGTGACCCACTTCCTGTTTTTGCAAATAAAGCTTTATTGAAACGCAGACACACCCGTTCATTCTCGTATCGTCTCCACGGCTTTGGGGCAACAGTGAGTGGCAGGGTGGAAGACTCACGACTGAGGCCCACAAAGCTGAAAACATTTACTGTTTGGCCCTTTTCGGGGGAAATGTGCCAACCCCTGGTTTAGATAAACCGGGTTCCTCCTTCCGTGGACCTGACGCACGAGGAGGAGAGACGTACTCTGTAGCCTGTGCTCGGGAAGTGATTTCTGGGACCGTTTCCGTGCTCCGGAGAAGCCTTGAGGCGTCCGGGAATGGGGCTCGTCTCCTCCCGGGGCTCGTCTGCGTCGGGGGCCTGCCCCTCCTCCCACGCGCTCCATCCGCGGCGGTCTCCCCCAGGCTGGCCTGCTCTCGCATCCCCCCACAGCTCAGCCCCACCCGTGTAGCCAGACTCCAGGTCACCTTCTGCCGCCTTTGTCCTTAGGGCCTGGCCTGCATTCACAGCGCATGGCCTGGACCCTGTTCCTCCCCCCGACACACACACTCATGGCCTTCCCTAATGGGCCCGGCGTGTCACCTGGGGCAGAGCATGGACCCCAAGGACTGTCCTGCCGGGGCTCACGTCCGGGCCTCGACCGGGTGCCAGCCGGAGGACTTCCAGGCGACTGAGCGCGCCTCCCTGCTGCCGGTAGGGCGGTGGTGGTCGTGCCCACCTCCTGGGGCAGCTGGGAGAATTTGGTGACACTGGGTGTGCGCAGGAGGTGTGCAGGGAGTGTCGGTGGTTGGCAGTAGCAGTGTGATCAGGTGCCATTTGTCCTCACCCCTCTCCACCGTCCCAGGCCACGTCCCCAGGCCTGTTCGGGCCAGTTGTGCCCAGTCCCTGGGCCCGGGCCGCCCTCCGCCCGAAGCCCTCTCCTTGCCTTGCCCGGACCGTTGTGCCGCGCCCCCCCCCCACCCCCCGCACTCTCACGCCAGTCTGCGCTCACTTCTGCTGCCCGAGCCTCTTCAGAAACGAGTCTGGTCGCCCTGCTCAGGACCGGGGCGGAGAGATCCGTCCCGGTGTGGGCCCAGCCTCAGCTCACCTGCTCCCTCCGTGTCCCCCACACTCTCACCAGGTGAAACCCTTCCCGCACCAGAGTGCTCCCCATGTCCCGGAGGGCGGGGCTTTTCTCTGCCCCTTCCGTGAGCGGCTGCTCATTTGTTAAGACTCAAGTACCGCTGTCAGCCCCTCTAACGGCTGGGAAGTCCAGGGCCAGCAGGGCCCGGCAGGAATGTAAACGAGGGCGGTGGCCCTGCTGGAAGGTCGAGGTCCTCGGGTGCAAACTCCCCAACGTCCTGCCTGCTCTGCAGCATGCTCCCCTAACCTTCGCGCCTCCCCGGGGACTTCCTGCGGCCGCCTCCACGTGCTCTTCCCACAACCCTCCCTTTCTCTGCACGGCCCCAGCGGGACCTTCTGGCTCTGTGCTCTCGCTGGAGGCCCTTGGTCATTTGGTGGCTACAGGTGCACCCGTAGCAGGGAGTGTCGGAGCCGGAGCCGTGTGCGGACGTGCGTGCCCGTGCCCCTGTCCCTGCAGTGCACACGTGCCGGGGGGACGCGGCCCCGGAAGTCGCCGCGGCAGTGGGTCGCGTTCCTCGGGCTGTTGGGATGGAGGAACCGTGGAGGGTCGTCGAAAACTTGACTTCCTCCTTTGCAATCGATATGCCTTTATTTCTTTGACTTGTCTTATCACACTGCCGGGCCCTCTGGGGCTGTGTTGAGGAGCGGGAAGAGAGGCGCCGAGCCTCATTCCCGTCTCAGGAGGGGGAGCGTTCAGTCCGTGGTCGGTGCGAGGACGGCTGGGCCCCAGTTCTCCAGGGCACCTCCTGCTTGCGGTGGGTGTGCTCGTCCGGCCCTGACACGGCGGGAGTTTCTATTGATCGTGGATTGTGTTGACTTCTGTCAGGTGGGTTTTTTAACGCCTTTTGAATTGTTTTTGTGCTTTTTTAGTCTTAAAATAATTACAACAATCAGTACTAAAATATTAAATGAATGTTGTGTTCCTAGCATAAATTCCACTTGGTTGCCATTATTTCAGTACGTTATGGATTTAATGTACTAAGTCTCATTAAGGGTTTTTGCCTTCGTAGTCAGGATGTGTCCTGAGCTGTAGTTTTCTGTGTCTTGGCCCGGGTTTGGTGTCAGGGCCACCTCCTGAGAGGTGAGCGGTGTCTCCTCCTCTCCTGCTTTTGTGGAAGGCTTTATGTGGAATTGGAGTTACTTCTCCCTTAAAGACTTAGTGTCATTCACGGATGAAGCCAGCTAAGGCGGGGGTTTTCTTTGTCAGAAAAACTGTCCCTGCAGGTTCGAGTGCTTCGGCGGACGCAGGCCTGTCCGCCTCTGCCCAGGTGTGCTGCGGCGGTTCTGTCTTTGAGAAACGTGCCCTCTCTATCTGGCTTTTTGAAATTTATTGGAATAAAGCTGTTTATAATATTACTTTATTACGCTTTTAATGTCTTTAGGAACTGTTCGGCCATAAATATATCCATTTTAATGGTCTTCTCAAAGAGCCAGCTTTTTCATTTTATTAATATTTCTGTTTCCTATTTGGCTCAATTTGTTCTTTTTTTTTTTTAAGCTGGAAGTGTAGAATATTGATTTTTTAGGCCTTTTTTTCCCTTATGTGAGCATTTAGAACTATAAATTTCCCTGTACGTACTGGTTTAAGTGAATTACACAGATTTTCATATGCTGTGTTTTTATTTTCATTTAGTTCAAAGTATTTCTTATTTCCCTTGTGACATGTGTTTTTAGAAATGTGTTTTCTAACTTGCAGTTATTTAGGGATTTTCCAGAAATTTTTCAATTATTGGTTTCTGGTTTAAATCCGTTGTGGCCAAAAAATATGCTATCTATTATGTCAGCCCTCTTCCGTTTGACGTGTGTGTCCTAGAATGGGGCTTCGTGGCTGCCTCGCGGGTGCCGGGGGAGAAGGGGCCCCGCCGCTCTCGCGGGCGTGCTCTGCGAGTCTGGGGCAGGGCCGCTTGCTCGGTCGACAGCAGCCGCAGCGTCTCTGGCCTCACGGAGCCCTCTCGCTTGCAGCAAAGAGCAAAGAAGTGTTTGAAATTCAGCCCCAATTGAGGATTTGTCTGTTTCTCTTGTTGGCTTAATCCATTTTAGCTTACGTGTCTTGAAGCTGTTTTCACGGAGTGTCTGTACACATCTAGTGGTTGGTTTTTCTCGGTAACTCGACCCCTTCCCCATCACGAAATGTCTCGCTCCTCCTCACGGTCCGGATCCCGAATTCTGCCTTGTCCTCACGTGGGCACGGGCTCTTCAGCCCTCCGCTGACGGGTGGTTGCCTGTCTTTTCCCGTCCCCTTACGTTTACCCCGCCTGTGCCTGTGCATTTCAGGTGGGTTCCTTACAGACA